TCAAGACAAGTTATTGCTTTATGTAAACAACACCCTGTTTATGCAGAGTAACAGTTAGGTTCAACTATTTAGGCTCGTTATCGCGGGCCTTTTTTATGCCTTTTTTTAATATCGCGCCTTCTTAATTTCCCCATTTTCATTAGATGTTTCTGGTTCATTTACTTATAAGTAGCTTGTATGTATTATCGCCGATTATTTTTGAGACCAGGTCTCTATCGATTATTTAACACAAGGATGAGTTATGAAAAAACATTTCTTTATTTTTCTACTTTTTGTTTCCTTCCAATCTACATGGGCTAACGAGCTTTTGCCTGTATCCGCATATGGTTCAATTCCAGAAATCAGCAAGGTAGTTATCTCCCCAAGTGGCGATAGCATTGCTTATCGTAAGACTAATGGCGAAAAGGACATGGTTATTACCTATAGCCTTAAAGACAAAAAGGTAACAGGTGGCATTGATGTTTCAGAAATTCGCCCCAGCCATATCTATTTCGTAAATGAAGATACTTTGATCCTTGTGGCTGTAGACAATACCAAATTATTTGGTTTTCGTGGCAGGCACAACATCAGCGCCGGATTTTCCTATCGAATTTCGAAAAATAAGGTGGGACAATTACTTGTTCCAGGAAAGGGGATTTATGAAGGGCAAACAGCCTTAGGTAACGTCGTAGGAATTTCTAATGATGGTCGGTTTGCATATATGCCGGCATGGAAGACTGGCGGTGAATATGCACTGATGAAAGTAAATCTTGCTGGTAAGCGTAAACCAAAAAGTGTTAAAAGAGGCATGTTTGAAGCGATTGATTACTTCATTCATGACGACAAAATTCTAGCGCGTGAATTGTACAATAATGAGAAAGACAGACATCGGGTTCAGACCTTAATTGGCAATAAATGGGTCACAATATTTGAAGAAGAGGCTGAAATTAAGACAAAGGTTTTTGTTGGTATAACCTCAGATCTGCAAAGTTTAGTTTTTGAAGCCTATGGGAGCAATCAGCGTATTGGCTATTATACAATGGCTTTAGCTGATGGAAAAATATCGGGCCCGGTTTTTAATCCCGATGATAAAGATATTGAATATGTCATCACTGATGTTAACCGGATTGTACACGGAGTAAGATATTCAGGGTTTAAACCGAGTTATGACTTTTTTAATGAGAAAA